AGTTAGCAGTGAGGTCCTGATCCAATCAACCCACCGGTCCTGATACTCAGCATAAGTCTCCATACCTGTGATAGCACCATCCTGGATCTAATATCTGTCAAATTCTCAGTTCACTCCAGCATCCTAAACAGTCTCACCTGGAAGGAGAGCCTGATTTCTCTGGTTCGCTTTCTTTTCCATCTCACCCAGTACTGTGCGCCAGCCTATCAGCCATCAACTTGCTGATTATGCACCATGATCACAATCAAGTGCACCCTAAAGGTTGACGCTGCCCGTTCAGCATCCAGAAGGCATTGAAGGTACCTTAAAACATCGTGCAGGGAATAGAACACTGGGTCCAAACTCCTGTCCCTGCATCATACCGCAAACCACTGCCAACACCTGGGACACATTCACAGGTTGGAAGGAGCCCTGGCATTTTGTCTTCCCTGAAGGACTGAAGGCTCCCGGTCTGTTAAAGGATGCCAGACCCTCTGAGAGGCCAAACTGTGAGCCAAAAACAGAGATGGGTGACGCACCTTACCTTCCCTTCCAGCTGGTACATAGATCCGTTCTGACCGGAATCCGCCATGGCTCTCTGGCCAACAAACGGAAGAGCATCGGGAAACAGATCCTCGTGAGCCATCCTGGTGCAACCCAGAGGACTCTCTGCACTAAAGAGTTCACTCATAGGGGAGTGGTCCCCTGCACACCACTCCCACTGAACTAAACTGCACCCCACCCCAGGGGAGACGCGTCATAGTCACCACATCTCATCGAGTCGTAACTGCCCCGAGGGGGACCGTGCTTCACAAGTATGTAGCATCTCTCCAGCAACAGAGAGGAGTCAAACTCCTTGGCATGATTCAAACTTTCACCTCTCTATGCAATTGGGGGTCCATGTGGGGGTCCAGGTCCATGTGGAGGGCATTTAACTAATGTTGCAGTGAGCAGAGATGAGGCAGATTCAGGGCTGTCGAGACTTTGGCTGCCACCAGCATTCTTCAAAAATCTCAGCTTCAGCTGGACTGAGGTGCTGCTCCCAGATGTAGGTACTATAGCAGGGACTGAATCTGCTCCGGGTGCTTCATGCTAGGCTGTGTCAACATGGCCACTGAAACCAGGGCTATGCTGATGAAGGCCATCTGCTGTGCTGGAACCAAGCACCTCTTCTACCAACTGACTGCCAAACCCAGTGCCTCGATGTGGGAAAGGATTTTGGACGTTGCCAGGTACACCCCCTGGTGTGAAGTAGCTCAGATATGGCAAATGTTCAGATTGCCATATCTGAGCTGAGGATTCTAGGAGTTAAATTGCCTCCTTGCACCTGGAGGAGCCAGAGACAGACCTGCACCTGAGCAGGATTTGTGACCAAAGTCACTTTTACTCCTGATGGGTTTGGGGGCTGGCAGCAACCTGCAACCTGTAGTCATATGGTGACCAGAACCCATGCATCTTGGCACTGGGCAACCCAGTAGACCAGGTGCACCCCCACAGAGCGCATTCAGAACATCCAGCACTACCCTTACCCAGCAGTCACCACCTGATCAATGACCACACCTCAACGAGAACAAACAACAAGCAGACACCTGCAAAGAATGCCAATCGCAGCCTCAGAGCGCTACGAAGCAGCACTCCAACTAAAGTCACAGGCTGGTTGACAACAACCACAAAAAAACCATGAACCTTCCTCTTTCAACCTGCAGACGCTCTGAAACACGGCGCCTACGGAGCAATCGACCGACAAAACATGACAGTGAAAAGATCCAATGAGACTGTAGCTCCCTCAGGGCTACTTATAGACGTCATTCCCAGGTGGGCTACGTCACGGCGTGACCTTGTTTACATTAAAGCAGCCTTCATGGGGTCTGCTGAAGGTGATCTTACCATTTGAAAAGTGGAAATTACCAGTGCATTGAGTTCAAATGCTTTTATTGTGGTAAAGAAGAGAAATAAGTTGGATCCAGAGATGATCCTGACCTATTCATTCGCTACAGGAAGAACAGGATCAGAGGCATCGGCTGACTGCTGGCGAGCATCTGATAAAAAAGACAGTATTATGTAAGGCTCTATATAACCCAGATTTATGTCCAGATCATAAAGAAATTAATGATTTTACTCTTCTTGGTTTTCTTT